CTTAAATCCTCTGGTACGACTCTTTCCAAAAACATAACCGTCTGCGGCCGTTACATGTATTTTCATTTCTTAAGTGCAGATGTTGAACCAACCAAGCACCTGACCTACCCCTATGAAGGAAAAAAATATTGATTTCAACCAGAATTTTTTTGCCTTTGAAGTCTTTTTCTTGCACCTTATTCGATGGTTTAACATTTAATACACGTGGATATTTTGCGAGTTGGGGCAAAGAAAGACCGGCAATAAAAAAAATCTACACTTATTTTATCTGTTAAACCATCAAATAAGGGTCTATTATTCCGCTAATATTTCATTTTCTAGGCCTCCAGTTTTACAAATGCTTCTTACGACCTTACCTCAACAACGTATCGATCGCATAGAAACAACAAAAACGAAATTATTTTTACAAGTGTTTTTATTACCAACAAAAATATCTTTTAAGTTTAAAAATTAAGTCGTTTCTTAAAAAGGCAAGCCGAAAAACCGAAAAGAAATCAAAGGTCAAAGCGTTCAGTGCGGTCATTTTTTGGCCCGTGTCTTTTTCTTTGTTCTACGATGTATTACCGTCTCATACTTTTAGCACTCCGTTGCTCTGATGTGTTCAAATGACGTAATTGCGAAATGATAAATTATAGAAGTCGTAACTCACATCATTCAATTCAAGCGTAATGCTGCGCTAAATTTTTGCTGCACAGATTTCGAGGAGGCATACATTCGTTGGGATGATGAAGATGACAATAACAAAAATGGAAGAGGGGGCACGCTTCCGGAAGGTTATTACGACTTTAACACTCGCATCGAATACTGTTGCCGTACGGATGGAGATGCCACAGAAGCCATTCGCCTTCCAACTGGCTCACCGTTTGTGCTGATAAAGGCTAACACCCACCTCTGTCAAAAAGTGGATGGAATGACACATAGATCAGAATACTTTGCCTGGGACACCGAGGATAAAGATCCGCAAGCCAACATTCACGGACCGATCAATGCTGAGTTGAGTTCAAACCGTAATATAAAAGTTCACTACTGTTATTACAATTAATCCAGTACAAGGACCCCACGCACAGCCGCAGACGTAACTGATGCCTCAAGAAGATTTCGCCTTGTTTTTAGACATTAGAAGTGAACGAGAAAAATAAAGGGAAATTAAATAAATAATAAATAAAGTAAATTGTAAACTAGCGTCAAAAGGCGCTTTTGAGATCAGAAATTAAAGCTAACATGGTGCTGGGTTAATTGATTTGATGCCTCAATATTCTTGGTAATACTGCAGCTTTTGGAGCACTGGTTTAATCCAAAGGTACCAGACTTCCTGGCCGCATATTATGTAACGGGTGTTTTTTTGTATTTTTGGTTTTTCTTTGTTTGTTTCCCTGGTTTATCTTTGGCATGCCGACCATATTCCGCTCTTTGTAATCCAGTATATTTTTTCCTTCATGTCAATGACAGCATTCCTATGATGCAGTAAGAAATGATAAGAGCGAGACTCAAGTTCGTACAATCTTGACGTTGATTTAGGATGACAAGACCGTTTTCATGTTTCTTTACATAAATGACGCACAGCTTAAAATCGGACGCAGTTTTATTCATGTACGCTTTCCTCAATGGAGTGTTGAGGTCACGAACCCTACGACCAATGGTGTTATAATTAGATCTTGATTTTTAAAAGTTT